TGGAACAGTGTAATTGGAACAATGTTTGTTCGAGCCTCTTTGGAGAAAAAATTCCGATTTTTAAATGTACGAAAAAATTTGTCTGAAAGATGCTCCAAAAAATTTTTAAACTGAAGTGTACATTGCAATTATTATTCGAATGTATTATGTGCGTAGAATTTCATATATTATACGTATTTTATTATTTTATTGTTATAATTTACGTAAGATACGAATGACTTGGTTGAACGAGAGTGAAGATATCAAAGATTCGTTTTACTATTCAACGGTAGAATATTGAAATGATGGAGGAAAGATTTTTATCTTAATGTCTAAAAATATCTGAATAGATGCCTCATAGCAATTTCTTGTTTTGAAGTATCTTTTCATTACGTCGAAATTGAGCACGTGTATCTAGTTATCGTTAGTTTTATCGATGCAAAAACAGACATATGTCATTCTTTTCTTTAACCTAGAAGCACCTTGTAAAATAAATAGCAGTCCGAGCAAATATGCATTCTTTCGTAAGTTGCACAACCTCGCCTCCATTTTCCTATACAATTAAATTTTCAAAGAATTAAAGCTGATGCTTTGAATTAAATATTCAAAATACAGAAAAGAAAAAAATTGAAATTAAAATATATATACTATATCGACACAATTCTGAAGAAATTCAATTCATATGTTTTGCGGAGAGAAGAAGGAAACGCTACGAGATCGGGAAATTGCAATAAACATGGGAAATCTATTCTTCGTGTTTGGGAAGCATGTTGATACAATTTTCAAGAAATTCGATCCGTATTTCGCGGGAAATGGGAAAAACGTCGCAGAAATATTATCGAAGGAAAGCTGTAAGATTAAAGTTTGAACATTCCCGCCTCTTGACGTCAGCCAGTCTAGCCAATAGGTAAATTTAGATAACACACTGAGAACGGAGTCGCGAACTAGTGCAACGTGACATCGATTCGTGAAAGTTGCCGTGTAATCCATAGATCATCAGATTGCACACGCGCACGTTTGCCATAATCACAGAAATTATTTTCATCGAGTACGGAGGAGAATTTCTCTGTGAATTGACCAGTGCGTGGATTACAAACGTTTCGAAGGATGTTTGATTGAAGAAGAAGAATTGCAGAAGGAGTATGGGAAAGTAAACTCAGGTGAAGAAGTTCTCGCAGCGGTAAATTCAAACGTGTGCAAAATCGATTGAATCTCGTCAACTTCACTTCAATTGAAACGGGAAGAAGATGGAAGCGAATAATTTGTGAAAGAACGTACTAAAATTAAAATAAATAAAGACGATATACGATTGTCGATATATATATATATATATAACTAAGAACGTTGTTAAAATTAAATCGAATCTCTGTTTAAGAAGATGCATATTATTCGCTCGTGACAACGAGGTTACGAGGTTCATCGCTTATCTTTGTAAAATTGTTAAGAAGACTCAAAGGATTAAATATTACGTATGAAAATCAAATTAAACTCAATTTGCGAAAGGCCGACGAAAGGACGAATTTTTCATTGAAATTAAATTTAACCTTTTCCAAGACACTTTCACGTTTGCCCGCGATAACAACATTCTAAAATCGCGCTTGATAAAGACTGATAACCTAGGTCGATGAATTTTTCGTTCTATGTACGTTGCTACAAATATCAGTCAGTAATTCGACGATACAAGTTATTTGTAAAAAGTCAGCAAATAGAAGTAGATCTCCCTTGAAACCGGCTGGTTCACTTCAAATTCGATAAGCCTCCCGACAGGAAAAAAAAAAAAAAAAAAAAAAGAAAAAAGAAAAACGAGAAATTGTGCCGAACATGTACAAAAGTCTTTCGAGTGTCACGTGGAGTACATCCAACCTGTTGAAAGCATGGACGTTCGGTTGGATGAGGTCGAGGATGGGATCCTGTGACAAAGACGCAGAAATGGTTGCACCTAAAGAGGAGGTGATCAGATTTACATCCGACAGCCTGTTCAAGGTTGGAGTGTCGCGTGAGGATAGCTATGTTATCGGTCATCATTTGATGACCGCTGACTATCGTGGCCATTTCAGTCACGGGATGAACAGAATGCCAATGTACGTGCAGGATATTAAGGATGGGATGACCGATCCATGCGCGAAGCCACAGATTGTTACGGATTGTCAGGTGATTATGTCAGGCGATCGATATATCTTAGGGATACCTATTACACGCGTGTTCAAATTATCTACCACACGTGTACTTGATATATCCATGTTTTCGTCGTGTGTGCAATTATAATAATGAAATTATATTTACTCTGCAGAATCGGAATTCCGTTTACTTATCACGGAGAAAGATTCTTAGTTAATCGTAGCAATTCACTCGGATTAGATATCCAGCAAGTTTCACTTTTGGCATTCTTGTTTTTCAACAGCGTGCCAACGAAAAGCGGATAAAATCGAATTTTCGAAAATGTAACTTTTGTTTTAACTTTCAAGTTGTCGTGCGACGTCGTCAGAGGATTGGCACGATTTCATATGCAAGAACGTGAGAAATTTACGCGCATTAACAATCACACAGAATGGAACTTGAATATGCTAACACGTCTGTATCTCATTTTCATATGAGATGTTAAGAACGATATATTAAAAACTGCACGGATTGAAACACGGATATGTCGATTGCATTGTGTATTATTCAATGCACGTTGGAAATCATCACCTAAATCTGCTCGCTATGTTTTTTCCGCATCGTGCTCCAACATGATCAGCGTCTAAACTGAGATTAGAGTTGTGACGCGGTTTTAATTATTCGTTTGATCAGTTGGAAGCATAGTTGTCACGCGATCACTGAATGTCAGATAGAGAGAGAGAGAGAGATAGAGAGATAGAGAGAGAGATATCACAGTGCATGGATACGTTTTATTACACTAATATTCTAACGAAGAGAGAGAATAATAATTTCGAGAGATTACTATGGTATCTTTTATGCGATACCAAGAAAAGATTTATTCCATTCATCTTTCTTAGCCTTCTTGGAAATTATAGACAATTCCGACTGTGTCGTTTCTTATTAAAAGAAAGACTGTAGTTGTAATTGAAGTATCATTTAAGAAACGGACAGTCTAAATCCAGCTTCTACCGGTTTACTTGCCAGTGGAAACGTATGTCTCTCGTTGAAACTCGATAGATAATATTTCATGCGAAAATCACTTGATCTTGATCACTTGAATTTATGTTCGATACTTTTGTCGATAATTGAAAATTTAATTTCCGAGTTGTTGCTTGAAGTCTCTCACGCGAACATATTCTACAGAACGATTATAATTTCAATTACTAATGAAGATCTCGTTGGAAAACAAAGCAGATCATTTCTAACGTGCTCTTATCTCGTACTATAGTATGCTTTGATTCCGTTTAAATAGATACGAGAGCTTCTCATCTCAACGAAATTCGTAGAAAATATAAAGGAATTGTGTTTAGAAGCTATATTGATCAAGTTCATAAATTGAAGAACAGTAAAAAATGTAGATGTCTTGAGCCTGAATTAATTTGGTATTGTAAAGCATTGAAGGCTTTGATTAATCCCGAGTATTCAACATTTTATAAATATCTTTCGAGATGAATGAACTTGTGGAAGTAAATCATCTGTTTTCGAGGAATTAGACGAAATACGATAGTTATTTATTCATTAGAATATTCAAATTTCGTAAGAGTGTGGAACCTAAGAAACATAATGATGAAAAAGATATTAAGCAAATATCACTAATATTAAATAACAGAATTTGACAATATAAATTTCATTAACACGATGTCGATCCTTAATGATTTAATTATGTAATGAAATTGAGAGGCATAAATTCCACTGAAACCGTCACTTTCTTCACGTTCTCGTTTCAAAATCCTGTGATGTCTCTCTTAACTATGGTGTATGATTAAAAGTCATATTAGCTTCAGCATAGTTGTTAATGTAAAGCACACAAATCTCGAACACCCTTAAGGTATTCTCTTCACGCCAATGGCTCGATCAACAATAATTTTCAGGCGATAGCGTTGGTCAACGGGAACAACGGCCTAGGCCAGGTGATCGGTAAATTCTGCATGGAACTAGCGATGAAAAAGGCTAAGAAATTCGGTATCGGGATGGTCTCAGCTCGTGGTTCCAATCATTACGGCATCTGCGGTTACTATGCGAAAATGGCCATCAAACAAGATCTCATAGGCTTCACCTGTACCAACACCAGCCCTTTAATGGCCCCGACTCGTAGCAAAGTGGCAGCTTTAGGCACGAATTCAATGGCTCTGGGAATGGGCGGCTTAGGCGACGATGAGTACGTGTTGGACATGGCCACGACAGCCGTTGCTGTGGGCAAGATCGAGCTGGCTATCAGAAAGAAGGAACCGATTCCCGAAAGCTGGGCGCTTGGAATGGACGGCAAAGTAACCACGAACGCCGAGGAAGCGTTCAAAGCTGGCCGTTTGTTGCCTCTTGGCGGAGTGGAGACGAATAGCGGCTACAAAGGTTATGGATTGGGCCTAATGGTCGAGGTTCTTTGCGGAATTCTATCTGGGAGTGAATTCGGTCCCAATATCAGACACTGGAAAACCAAGGACAAGATTGCTAATCTTGGTCATTGCTTCATGGCTATAAATCCGCAAGCTTTCAACTGTGGATCGAAGGAGAGATTGAGCAGATTGTTGAAACAGCTGAGAGATTTGCCTCCCGTGGACGAGAACAAGCCAGTTATGATTGCCGGGGATATAGAGAACCAAGCGATGGATAGAGTGGATAGAGAGGGTGGCATTACGTATCATCCCAATCAGCTAAAGGCGTGCGAAGAATTTGCAAAAGATATGGGAATCGAACCTTTGAAACTTGTTCCAAAAAATGTTAATTAAAGGTTAATCAGGAAGTTAGTTCTCTCTATTAAGTATTTGGTTTCTTGAAGGATTGCCTTTAAGTGGATTTTAGTTGAATTCTTTTATATTTGCTGATTTGATAGACGTTTATTTCGTGTTGTTAATATTATGCGAGGGTGATTCGATAATTACAAAATTTATTAAAATAACAATAGAACGTCTCAGTCAAACGTGTGTTTGGCAATGCGTCTGGCATTTTTGTATCAAGCTTCAAGTTTTTATTATATCATTAGAGAAAAATGTCCTTTATCAAGAAGACTGCCATGTATGCGCTACTTCTTTCAATTTTTTATTCTGTTTTATCTTCATGTGTGATACTTGTGCGACGATTCTTGAACTTATCTGTCCACTTATCCGTCCACGTTATCGAAGAAAAATATTATTCTCATATTACATTGAATTAATAATTATATAAATATATTTAGTATATTAAATATATAAATGTGTATAATTGTGTTCAATTTATAGAAACATAGGATCTGTTGAATATATAAATACAATACAATATAAATAAATAATTTAACAAATTTACCAATGGCACGTTCTTTGATACAAACATAAAGTGATCCAGCCATTGTCATAAAAAAAAGATAGCTAGTTAAAAAGTCGTGATAAAGCATTTATTGCTACAACTAATATAATAAAAAGTATGACTAAATTACGAGTAATTATTATTATTATAATCACTCTCGTATATTGACATAAAAGAATCTATCAATGAAGGATCTATAATAAAATTGTGGACACTGTTTATATATACTGTATAATATATCATAAACATTTATACACTGCGGATGTTGATGCATTTTTTTATTTTTATGAAGATAATTGAGGAAATGGAATCCAAGTAGAAAATAAATCTTTCATATTAAATATTGCGAAAAGCATTGTACTTTGCACAAAATCTTTCATCAATGCATAAAAATCATAATTCTTACATATCATATTATCTTTTACTGTGCTATATATATTCCACAATTCGAAAGAATCTAAACTACTTTCTAACAATTTGGTGATTTCGGTATTTTTCTAACATTTTACTCCTATTCTTGTGATATACATGTACATAAACGAGAAAAGCTCACACACATGTTATATCTTTCCATGATATTGTAAACATTTGAATTTTTCTACTTAACAGAAAAGAAACGAAACGAATGTATCATCACCGATGCTTTCAATTACACCTTCACGCTGTATCATCGCAATTATTTATTACCCTAATCTCGGTGCAACGATCGAATCTCGCCGAACTAATAACACGTTTCTTTTCGTACAGTGTTTACACGCGACGAGTTCGCGTGTACGTTTCGTCGATTTAATGGAAACGATGCTCACGATGACATAACCATCCTTGTGGTCTCATTGTTGGTCAATGATGATGATGATGATGATGATGATGATCACGACGACAATGGCCTTGGACTTGCTCGCGTGTTCTCGATTGCACTCATTACCGATCGAAACGCGCGATCATCGGTATCGATTCACCGGTAGACAACAAACGAGACATTTGCATAATCGATCGACGAGAGGTGGGAACGATCGATCGATGCTTGCAGATTCATTAGATTGTACGCTTCGTTGGTGATCGTGGAGAAATGTTGGAGGGACATTAGCTGAAGATCACGTGCGTCTGCGTTAGTCGCAGAAGCGCGATCAAAGAAATTCGATCTTGCAAAGGCTGTGAAATCTCGTGACAGCGTGTAATTATTTTTCGCAAGGACGTGTTTAATACCACTAACTAAGATTGGCTTCGTTATTTTTCGACGTGGGGAATTAAGTTTAAGACGTATCCGATGAATGCGGCTGACACAGATATCCAAATGATTAAAGTCGAACTATCCGAGTTCAAATTTATCAGTGGAAATGATCCTTCAAGTTTTTATTGACTAATTTAATTTCAAATATAATTCACGTAGGTTGGAATTTTGTGCGTTTGAAAATACAGAGACGCACGCAATACGTAAAATTGTATAAAATATCGAGGATAGAATTTATTCATAATAATATTTATAAATGAAACAAACGTCTGTCTATTTAATTATATTCATAATGATATGAAAATTCATAAAAATTCGCACTCCAAATATAAATCTGTATTTTTATTTAATTTGAATTCAAATGAATTGCTTTGAGGAGCTTTGAGCTGTTCCTTAACTATTATTATCCTTGGTTAATTTCCTAAATTAAATGGATCTCATTTGTAATTAGGTTAGGTTTAGAATTATAATTTATATTTCATTTATTTCAATACTAGTCTTGCATCAAGTGTCCATTTCATAATTACAATTTAAATTTTATTTAAACTAACCTGTAATTTAATTCTCTCCTCTTACTTCTACTTTACGTTTATATCTCTTCAGATATGTTCTGTCTATTCATAGAAAGCAGAGAACACGTAAAAATTAAATTTCATTCTATCTAAAATATTATTTGTAAAATTTTATTTTATGTAAAAATCAAATATTTAAAAACTGCCTAATTTTTAGCAATGCCTACTGAAGTAATCCATTTGTGAGGTTTAATTAATCTGAAGTATCCGTATAATTTCTTCTTATCAAGTAACAATCATTTGTACACTTTTTTTTTTGTACAATTTTTAATAATTAATATTCTTATTAAAAAATAAGGAAAGCTTATAATCATTGGAAACGGTTAATTCTTTCTCTTTCACGATTTCGTAAACAGGGGTTATCGTGAAGACTCCGCAGACTCTGAGTCTGCTACGATCCAGTGTTATCATTGGATTGTTATTAAAAGAGAGAACGCACGAGCGTAATTAATAATTTGCCGCCATGGTAATTTTTACAAAGTCCTTTGTACTCAGATGATCGCGGATTGAAAGCTCGTCATTTCATTTGTTACATGTACGGTTTAATACATTTTCTCTCTTCGTGATAAAAAAAAAGAAACTAAACTATCTTCCACTGTGTTAGAGTCATTATATTATACTTTTATAATTTTCTACAAAGATAATTCCTTCGACGAAACAGTCAAGAGAAATTCGTATTCCAACCTACCAGTTGCAAACGTTCATGTTTATTCGTATCACGTAGAAACGTCGAATAGAAGTTTCATCATTGCACGCACATTCGTAAACTGCACTTTTCATGTGTTTTGTTATCACGACACGTAACTTGGATCGAGATTTATGCCGAATCAAAGGGGAGAAAGATCATTAACCCTCGTTGAGTTCGATGTTACTTCAAATAATCTTTGTTGCTTAATTTAATTTACTCATGACATTTTTTAATTTTCAGTCTGTATTTTACGAGACGAAAATCATCAATTACTGCGTAAAATGTAGAAAACGCGAATTTGAATTGAACAATTTAATTTAAATTGATTGATCAAAGATTAACTATTCTTGGAGTTTAAAAAAGTTTTCTGAAATTTTTCAATTTTAATTTTATCAGATAAAATGTGGGGTTTGAGCTCGACTTTAAGTGAAACTTAATCTAACAATACTAATGAGAGCTAGAAGATGTCTCATTTCTTCTGATATGTACGCTGATACATTGTTCCCGAAATATTAAAATAACTGGAAATACAGGAATTTATATCGCGTTTAATTTGTCTTTACTTATTTATTTCAATCTGTTTCTTTTTTTTTTTTTT